AATCCTTAATTACAAGCACCTGCTTGTAATTAAGGATGTTTGCTTGTCATTAAGGATTTTTGCTGGTCAAAAATCCTTAATTACAAGCACCTGCTTGTAATTAAGGATTTTTGCTTGTCATTAAGGATTTTTGCTGGTCAAAAATCCTTAATTACAAGCACCTGCTTGTAATTAAGGATTTGTGCGTGTCATTAAGGATCTGTTTCTTGTCAAAAATCCTTAATTACAAGCGGGTGCTTGTAATTAAGGATTTGTTGCTTGTCATTAAGGATTGTTACTGGTCAAAAATCCTTAATTACAAGCACCTGCTTGTAATTAAGGATGTTTGCTTGTCATTAAGGATTTTTGCTGGTCAAAAATCCTTAATTACAAGCACCTGCTTGTAATTAAGGATTTTTTCTTGTCATTAAGGATTTTTGCTGGTCAAAAATCCTTAATTACAAGCACCTGCTTGTAATTAAGGATGGTTGCTTGTCATTAAGGATTTTTGCTGGTCAAAAATCCTTAATTACAAGCACCTGCTTGTAATTAAGGATTTTTGCTTGTCATTAAGGATTGTTGCTGGTCAAAAATCCTTAATTACAAGCACCTGCTTGTAACTAAGGATGTTTTCTTGTCATTAAGGATTCTTGCTGGTCTAAAATCCTTAATTACAAGCACCTGCTTGTAATTAAGGATTTTTCTTGTCATTAAGGATTTTTGCTGGTCAAAAGTCCTTAATTACAAGCACCTGCTTGTAATTAAGGATGTTTGCTTGTCATTAAGGAATTTTGCTTGTCATTAAGGATTTTTGCTGGTCAAAAATCCTTAATTACAAGCACCTGCTTGTAATTAAGGATTTTTGCTTGTCATTAAGGATTTTTGCTGGTCAAAAATCCTTAATTACAAGCACCTGCTTGTAATTAAGGATTTTTTCTTGTCATTAAGGATTTTTGCTGGTCAAAAATGCTTAATTACAAGCACCTGCTTGTAATTAAGGATTTTTGCTTGTCATTAAGGATGTTTGCTGGTCAAAAATCCTTAATTACAAGCACCTGCTTGTAATTAAGGATTTGTTGCTTGTCATGAAGGATTTTTGCTGGTCAAAAATCCTTAATTACAAGCACCTGCTTGTAATTAAGGATTTTTGCTTGTCATTAAGGATTTTTGCTGGTCAAAATTCCTTAATTACAAGCACCTGCTTGTAATTAAGGATTTTTTCTTGTCATGAAGGATTTTTGCTGGTCAAAAATCCTTAATTACAAGCACCTGCTTGTAATTAAGGATGGTTGCTTGTCATTAAGGATTGATGGGGGTCAAGAATCCTTAATTACAAGCACCTGCTTGTAATTAAGGATTTTTGCTTGTCATTGAGGATTTTTGCTGCTCACAAATCCTTAATTACAAGCAGGTGCTTGTAATTAAGGATTTGTGCGTGTCATTAAGGATCTGTTTCTTGTCAAAAATCCTTAATTACAAGCGGGTGCTTGTAATTAAGGATTTGTGCGTGTCATTAAGGATCTATTTCTTGTCAAAAATCCTTAATTGCAAGCACCTGCTTGTAATTAAGGATTTGTGCGTGTCATTAAGGATCTGTTTCTTGTCAAAAATCCTTAATTACAAGCACCTGCTTGTAATTAAGGATTGTTGCTTGTCATTAAGGATTGTTTCTGGTCAAAAATCCTTAATTACAAGCACCTGCTTGTAATTAAGGATGGTTGCTTGTCATTAAGGATTTTTGCTGGTCAAAAATCCTTAATTACAAGCACCTGCTTGTAATTAAGGATGTTTGCTTGTCATTAAGGATTTTTGCTGGTCAAAAATCCTTAATTACAAGCACCTGCTTGTAATTAAGGATTTGTGCGTGTCATTAAGGATCTGTTTCTTGTCAAAAATCCTTAATTACAAGCGGGTGCTTGTAATTAAGGATTTGTTGCTTGTCATTAAGGATTGTTGCTGGTCAAAAATCCTTAATTACAAGCATTGTTGCTTGTCATTAAGGATTTTTGGTGGTCAACAATTTTTAATTACAAGCACCTGCTTGTAATTTAAGGTTTTGTTGCTTGCCATTAAGGATTCT